AAGAACTGTGAAAAGATGCTGTTGGGAGATACACCAAACGTACCTTCTGCTGCTGATTTCCTAAAAAACATCTTCTGGAATTTGTTCCAAACACCAGAAAAATATAAAAATCCAGCTCATACAATACACATTTGATAATCATACATCTATTTCTGCTGACTTCAGAATCTTGTCAAAATCAGTGATTAAGTAAGCAAATTAGTTATACCCAGTACTTTGCAGATATAGTGTTCACTGCAGTTTATTAAGTTATTAGAAGAATGACTGAATACCACATCTACCTCAGGCAGAGTACTCCATTTCAGTGAAGCCTACAGAGCTGTTAAACTGACAAAGTGGGCAACAGAAACCATTCACCTCTTACAGTTAAAATATCATAAAGGCAGTTTTCAGGATAATTTAAACCACCATATTTATTTTCTTAGGATCCCTTTGAATCACAAGGAACAAAAATAACTACTCTACATCCACTGAAGGAATCCACATTGCAAACAACAGCTTATGACTTCTGCACATTAAATCCCCAAACAGGCATTTCTTCACTTGGCGGGGGGGGAAAGCAGCTACTGTTAGAGCAGTGATAATGTTGATAGTGAAGAAGTCCGGGAGTATGGGGAATGAAGTTTCACAAAAGTGATTCAGAAAGCAATATAATTAGTGGTTAGTCCCAATGAAAAGGTCACTCACTGATAATTCCAAATGTTTTTTATAACCATCCAATTTATTAAAGGTTCATGGATTTAGAAATGACTGTGTAAAGAGAGAAGAGTCTACCTCATTCAGCTTTGTGATTTTTGAAGATATGCCATCTCCATAAGGAATACCTGTCTCTACAGTATGTGTTCTCATGAATTTGAATACATTTGATTTATTTTCGTTTCCAAGAGTTTAGAGTATCTGTTTTACCTGCATCACCCTGAAGAAATGCAAGTCAGGCTGTAATCCGGTACTTTGAGACAAAATCCTTTTAAAAAAAGATCAGTTACTTTTTAGAAACTATTGCTTTTAGCACCCTATTACAGGCCAAATTTGGTTTTGTTTTTTTCCCCCTCAAAACAAGCAAGCAAAAGAGCATTCTTTACTGTAAACCTTTGCTATAAAAGCACTATCTTTACCCCACCCAGCATCTCTCCAGGATGTCTCCAATACCTCAGAATCATTGACCATGATCATTCCGTATTTTAACTTGGAAAGAAAATAAGAAATTTGAGAAAATTTATTTAACTGCCTGGCATTTAAGGAATTTGAAAACCAGCTGCAAAACTTGCTCTTCATTTTTCGAATTATAAACATTTACTATTTATTAGTATTTCCAAAGCAGATATGAACTGCAGCTGGTAAATATTATTTGAACTCAGATAAGAGTCTGGGGAGCTGGAATCAGGGACCACGTCCACTCTGTAGGGCCAGCACTCAGACCGCCTCTTCTGTCCCATGGGACTGCCGCTTTTGTCTGAACCCCCAAGGGCAGAGCCCTCCCAGGGGACTTCAAGGCCTAGTGCAGGTTCCTCATTAATTAATCTCTCCCTGAGCATCAGGGCACCACGTGGGATGAGGGCTCCCCATGGGGCAGCCAGGGCCCATCCCAGCACCCCAGCCAGGGAGCAGGGCAGCCAGGGGGTGGCCGGGGCAGGCCCAGCCCCATAGCCAGGTGAGCCCGTGGTGAGGGACTGAGAGCCCCAGGCTGGACTGAAATGGGGTTCTGGACTACGGGCAGGTTGAGGTGAGGCCCCAGGGGAGGCCCCAGGGGAGGCCAGGCAGGGACAGTCAGGGCTGTTGGTGCCCTCAGGGACATTGACACTGACATTTCTGAATGGCTTTGTTGGATTTAGGTACTTTGGCTTTTATTTTAGGCACTTAAAGAGTGTTTCAGATCTTGTTTATGCCCTTGTTATGCCCTACTTTCTCTACAGGGGTCTGCTGCTTCTTTTAAATTGCAATGAGTAGCTGTATTGACAAAGATAAAAGATACAGGGTGGCTTGTGAGTTGTTATTTGAGTTAAGAACAAACACAGTTGTGGGCACAGTTAAAAAAGCCCTTATTTCTTACCACCCACATAAGTAGGTCTCAGATAAGGATCGATTTTTATTCTGAATTACATTTGAAATCCACTGTGCTAATTAAAATGTAAACAGAAACCATAAGCGTGATTAAGCAGAATCTAACACACTTCACTGCAGCATCTCCCTAGCACATTTGTCACAGAAGGATGGACTCCAGGTCAGCCTCAGACACTTCACAGCACTAGAAGCATTAAGAGCCAAAATGTCTTAAATAACCTTAAAAAAGTATAATTTAGTAGGGCACACTGCTAGATTTATTTTTTTAATAATTCTTAGTGCTACTAATCAGAACGATTAACAACTAAGTTTTATTTCCATATCAATATGTATAGTTTTAAGAATGTAGGCATTGAACTATTTGTTTCTACTTCCATATTTTTTCTTTCTGCTTTTTGGCCTTTCAAAGCAATATAATTACCATAGGACTTTTGTACAGCCAACTGTTAATCAACAGTTGTGACAAAACATCAAGCATTTCTTCTCCCTACAAAATTACTTTAAAAAGCAGAGTAATATCTACTTAAGCAGGTAGAAAAATAACGTGTGCAAATTTCTTTGAGAATCACACAGTTTATCCAGTTAAAAGCAGTGGCTTATCTGCTTTTAGTCAAAATATTTGCTCCTCCTGCCTTTAAGACATAACTTTAGAGACATCTTTCACAACTGAATAAACTGAAATTTCGATTCCAGTAGGTCTGCCAAGGAAAGAATGGGGTTTAGTATATCTTTAAGTAAACAAAAAAACCCCCAAAATCAAAAAGCTACTAGCTAAGCCAAACAATTAAATGCCAGGGGAAAAAAAAATCACCTTTACAGTTCCTTAATCATTTCCAGTGAATTATATGCATTTAAACTATGGCTCCTGACTGATATATTCACTTAAGTATTTGACAGAGAGAAGCTGGAAAACTTGCTATGAAGTAAAAGCCTCGATTTGTGGCTGTTCTGCACTAATGGCTTCCTAGGGACTAATAAAATAGGTTAGAGCCTAATAAAATGACTGATCTTTCATTCAGGATAACAATGAACCTTAGCCGACAAGTCAAGTCAGACCCATTATTCTAAATGACAAGCCAAAAATGGCAAAGCAGGAGTCACATACTTCCCATCAACCCAATATATTATTATACAAGAACATCTAAATTCCTTGGTCCTAAGAAGAAATTTGGATATGGCATAGCAGTGACATACTTACTTGGTACATTCTCCCTTCTGGCTACTAATTCCACAAACAATAGAGCTAACATTCACAGAGAAGCTTTAGAAAGGATGTTGATAATATAGCACTACACAAGTTAAGAGATTTAAGATTCTGTTTCTTTTCAGCTATCATGAAAACAGTGGTAACAGGTCAGATCAAATATATATCTTGTCCATTTTCCTATCTCAAACAATGAATATAAAAAAGTAAGAGCAGGCAAGTCGATAGGATAACCCCCAACGCTATTCTAGCCTCTGGACTTCCTGAGCTCGGTAAGTCTGCATGCCATTAGAAACCACCAATGGATTTGTTTTCCAAGATTATCCAGCCTTCCCTTGAACCCATATAAGCTTTTGGCATCCACAATATGCAACTAGCTTCAAAAATCTGCTATACAACAATTGAAGAACCATCACTTGTTCCTTCTAAACCTGGTGCCTACTAGTTTCCTCTGATACCTCAAACTACTACTGGAAGAGAAAGACAATCTAACCATGCACACCTTATTCCTAACATTGTGGATTTACAGACCTCTAGCCCAACAGCTCTTAATCACCCTCTTTCTAGATTGAAGAGTCCTACTATACTCAATTTTTAACCATATAGCCTCTGTTTTATAACTCTAATCATCCTTTTTTGCCTTCTTTGGGGCACCAATATTGTACACAGTATTAATGATATGGATGAACGATGGATTTATACAACAGCATAAGTATGTTCTCTGTTTTTCTATGATTTTCCCAGTAGTTCCTGGTACTTCGTTTGCTTTTTGACCACTGCTAAGCACTGAGCTGCCATTATCATGGAACTATCCATCATAAGAGGTCAATGTTTTGATGGATGATCAAATCACTTCACTTCTCCAAAAAACATTCACAAAAGAAAAGGCTTACAAATTTGAGGATAGGATTCTTCAGCTTTAGTTATGACCATTAGCAGCCAGATAAGAATTTGGATTTCAAATATCTAAGAAAATCATGTTTTAAAGAGACAATAAGATTAGAAAATATGTCATTTAATTTCAGGTTACAGTAAACTACTTTGTTAAATGTAATTCGTTTACCAATAGGAAGGAGGCACACAACAAAACAAAGACCTTCCAGAAATAGATTTTCAGGAGTAGCAAAGCATGAAACCTTCAAAACAGATGAATTCTAGGAAAACCAGAGGCAATAGAGTCGTGAGATTTCAAGTCTCAGGGTTCTGCACAACTCTTCACGTTTG